ATTTGGCTGCTGCAGCATCAATGAGTTTGTTCTTCTGGAGCCTCCCCCCCGCACACCCCAGTCAGCCTCTCGCCCTCCGGCCCCGCCTCTCCGTGCCCCGGCAGAGCAGCATGGCTTGTGGGCACCCGCCTATGTGCATGCCTGGTGGAGGAGGAGGAGGCAGCCCCTAGTTCGCAGGCCCCCTTTTCCCCACCTAAAAGTGGCGCCCCAGCAGGGCAAGTGTGGTGGCGGCGGCAGCTGGGTCAGGCCAGGCGCTTCGTTGTGAGTGGAGAGCAGTCGGTTTGTGCAGGCTTCTAAAAAGTGCTTGTGCAGAAGGAACAAGTTCTTCGGGGGGGGGGGGGGATAGAAGGGCAATGTAAACAACATGGCTGAGAAACGTGTTCCAGAATGACCGATTCTCTCCTCGGTTTTCTCCCGCATCCCCAGGTAGCCAGGCAGGCGTAAAGGCTTTTCGTGTGTGCATTTGGAAGAGATCCTCCAGGTGAAAGCAAAGGGCGTTAAAGCCCTAATCCGTCGACTTAATACACCCCCACCCGCCAACTTGAAAATTGGTGTGCGCATGGGGGTGGGGCGCCAGAAGGGATCCTCGCCTAGGGTGCAAAATAAGCTGGGGCTGACCCTGTGAGAGACAAATGCACTTCTGACTCGTGACACTATTGTGGCAGCATGAAGGAATCCTAGAGGGCCTGGGAGGATGGAATAAAGCTGAAGAGCTCCTCAATGAGATCTTGCCTCTTAAGACCTGGGATTGCTAAGTAAATTCCACAACCCGCCTTTTAGAAACAGGTTATCTGCAAGGCCTATATTACTACTGGGCTGAGATGGTTGACCACTCATAGTATCTTTGGTAAGGATGCCTCTAAAGGATAGGAAGTCAGGAGAGTAAGCCAAACAGTCTGAGACTGTTGGTGTGGTGCATCGAAGAGTGAGATGCCAATCTACTTCTCTAGCAACAGCTCTGACCTAGACACCCTGGAATACAGAAGCAGCTGTGGTGCATTGCAGAGCACAGGCTGGGATCATAGTTGGAGAAGAAGAAGGGGGAAGGAGATGAGTCAAGAAGAGAAGCTGCCAGATGGGAGAGCACGTAAGGAAGAAGAGCTGGAATCTGAGGGGGAAGGATTGTGGCTCCTCATCAAAAACAGCCCCACACGCCTGGGGAATCCACAGACCTTCCACTAGTTAGTGCAATACTAACGGGTTACTTACTGCTGCAGGATTTGCGGCATCCATTGGCTGTTCTGCCTTTCCCATTGGAGCACCACCAACGGCTGTTGATCTGGAAAATCCCATAGTCGATGCTACCATCGCTGTTGGGTCGCCCCACAGCCCTGGAGTTGTACCTACTTTCATGATAAGCCATACATATCCCTGGAAGAAACAAAGCAGCGAATTCATGGAGAGAGTGTCACAGGGGGGAAATACGAGCCATTTGCATCAAACTCTCTGAACCTGTTGCCAATATTCTGAAATGGAAAAGGCTGTTTAATCTCTCGTTTAAAACTCCATGGAAACTATATGTTTAAAAAATAATAATAATAAAAGTTCAAAGCTAAGCACACATTTTGCTTCTATGATCTTGGGGATGCTGGGGATAGAACCTGGGACCTTCTGCGTGCCAAGCAGCTGTTCTACCACTGAGCCATGACCTCTCCCCTCAATAGTAAGATTTATTTATTTATTTATTTCATGACACTGCTTTCTCAGTGAGACTCAAGGCAGATAGCGTGTGTAGCCAACTTATGGGGACCCCAGCAAGGGGCTTTCAAGGCAAGTGACTGGTTTCCAGCATAGATCCGCCGTCACCCGGCCTCTTAACATCAAAGATTCAAGGAAAGTGGAAAAGAAACAGTGCGGAGAACCGAGATTAACGTGAAAGGTAACGAAGACGCAAAGCTTACCGTAATTAAGTTGATCTTCAAAGTGAACTAAGCGGTTAAGCGCAGATAAACTTTTCAAAGCTAATCGATTCATTCTGTATGAGAAAGGACTTTTTATTGTCTTAAAAATCGTCAAAAAGAGACTTTGTTTAACATTCCTGTGGTCAGCTAGAAAAGAAAGTGCGCACGGAGAGGAAGTTCCAACTGTGCGATTGTGTGTAAAATTCAAGGCTCGCCGTGTAGAGAGTGAGACAAGACGTGGTTAGAGTGCCTGTTGGAGGACTAAGAGAAACCGGAAGGAGATCGGCTTTAAAATTCCGCTACACGGAAGAGAAAAAATGAGTGAACAGGAAGTAAAACGCCGGAAGAGCTAAATTGATCTACTCTTGCCAGAAAACCATAGAGAACTTGCGCCCGACATTTTGAGGAGGACCAAATTTTAATTTTATAATTTAAGCCGTTTCGGCTAATTCGGACAAGTGAAAATTTGGTGATTTGTTTAACTGGCTTAAGACAAGTTGGGCAAAGTGAGAGGTGGACCTGAAAAGGCCACTTTGAAGATTTCATCACGGAACCGAGAACAAGGTTAAGAGCAACATCGATAACTAGTCCAGCTATGGCAACTGGGAAGGACAAGAAGGAGTGGCAAGCGGCAATGGAGGCGATGGAAAAGAGGATGACAGAGGCAATAAAAGCACTAGGAACACAATTAGACGAACAAATGGAAAAGCGCATGAAAGTACATCTGGAGCAGTTGGAAGAAGTACAAGAAAAGAATATTACTGCAATTAAGGAATTGGTAGCAGCAGAATTGGTGGATGTTAAAAAAGATATGGTTGAGGTTAAAAAAGAAATCCAAGGCTTGGCTACAAAGACAACAGATATGGATGAAGAGACAAAAAAACTGGAGAAAAAAATGGAACAAGAGAATAAAAGAGTGGAATCCTTAATGGAGTATAGAGTCAAACAGAATCAATTGAGATTAAGAGGAATAGCTCAAAAAGAAGACGAAGACATCAGAAAAACAGTGATTGAAGCATTGACATTAAATTTTCGAAGAAGATATAGGAGATTTGGATTCCCAATTTGACTTGATTTATAGAGTTCGATCAGCGTATGCGGAGAGAAAAAAGTTGCCAAGAGATGTAATTGTCCAGTTTGTCTCCTTGAAAATTAAAGAAGACATTTTTAAAAAGCAATTTACAGATTCTTTGGAAATCTATGGCAAGAAGATAATTATCTTGAGAGAACTTCCTAGAACCATCTTATTGGAAAGGAAAAAATACAAGAAATTGGCGGACAAACTGAGACAGACGCAAATTAGATTTAGATGGGAAATTCCATTTGGTCTGTCGTTCAACTACCATGCGTTGAAATACTCGATTACGTCAATAAATGATTTGCTTAGATTTAAAGCGGACAATATAGCAGATTTTGGAGATATATAAAAAGCACAATGGATTACAAATTTTTATCCTGGAACGTAAATGGACTAAATTCACCTAACAAGAGGACTTTAATTAGGCATTGGTTGGAAAAACAAAAATGTGACATTGTTTGTTTGCAGGAAACGCATATTAAAAAAGCGGATTATAAATATTTGATTAATAAGAAATTAGGAGAAGAATTTGTTTCATCTGCGGAGAAAAAGGTCAAAGGAACTGTGACATATGTTAACAAAAATTTGAGTCCAAAAGAAATTTTTAAAGACAAAGAAGGAAGATATGTTGGAGTTGAAATATTGTTGCATCAGAAAAAGACACTGATTGTTAATGTTTATGCACCGAACGGTGCAAAGGAAAACTTTTTTCAAGATCTGGGAAAAGAGTTTGACCAGTTGAGCTACGACGAAGTGGTGGTGGCAGGTGACTTTAATGGGACTATAGATAATAAATTAGATAGGCAATCTAAGAAAGGAGACGACAAAATCGGAAAATTACCGAAGACTTTTTTTAAATTGATAGAGCAGGAGAAATTGGAAGATGTATGGCGAAAGTGGAACCCAGGAGTTAAAGACTATACATTCTACTCAAATCAACATGAATCTTTTTCAAGAATTGACATGATCTGGATGTCTGGAGAATTGGCAACGAAAACCTCAAAGGTGGAAATTTTAGTAAAAGGTAATTCTGGTCATGTCATTGGTAGAAATACTTTGGGTGACCAAAGAGAAGAATAAGCAGATGCATTGGAGATTAAACGAAGACTTGTTGGATAAAAAGAAGATAATTGATATATTACGTAAAGAAACTGAAATTTTTTTTCAATTGAATATGGATAAAGACATGCCAATACAGACGGTATGGGATGCATATGAAGCGGTGATAAGAGGACTGCTTATATCATTAAATGCAAAAGACAAAAAGGAGAGGCATCAGCAACTTGTGGATATTAACAACAAAATTCAACAAAAGGAGACTGAATTAAAAAAGAGACCAGGGAAGAAATCAATAATAAGAGAGATAAAAATTCTACAAGAGCAATTAAATGCGATTGCAAATCGTGAAATGTATTGGAATTTGAAGAAGCTTCAGCAGAAATCGAATTTAAAGAAGCTTCAGCAGAAATCCTTTGAGGGAGCAAACAAACCTGGAAAATTTCTGGCTTGGCAGTTGAAAAATAGGAGAGAAAGAAGGACAATAAACAAAATTGTGGAAGAAGGTAAAGACTTGGTGGAAATACATGGGATCAAAAGAGCCTTTTTAAAGTACTATGCCAAATTATTCCAGAGGAAAAATATCGATCAGGCAAAAATAGTAAGATATTTGGAGAAAATGGAATTATTAAAAATTCAACAAAAAGATAAAGACTTTTTAAATGCGGAGATCCAAAAGGAAGAAATTTTAAAGGCAATAGACGATGCAAAGTTGGGGAAGGCTCCTGGACCAGATGGATTTACAGTGAAATTTTATAAAAAATTAAAAGACGAGCTGACCCCGAAATTTGTGTTGTTGATTAATAAAATAAGAAATTCAACAAAATTGCCGGAAACTTGGAAATTGGCAAATATATCTTTAATACCCAAAGAAGGTCAGGACTTAACTGACGTTAAAAATTATAGACCTATTTCACTCCTTAATAATGATTATAAATTGTATGCTAAGGTCTTGGCTGAAAGAGTAAAGAAATATTTAAAGGAAGTTATTGCAGAAGAACAAGCCGGTTTTTTGCCAAACAGGCAAATTAGAGACAATTTGAGAATGGTGATTGATGCCATAGAATATTATGATAAACATCCAGAGAAAGAAGTAGTATTATTTTTTGTAGACGCAGAAAAAGCTTTCGACAATCTAAATTGGGACTTTTTGCTACAGGTCATTGAAAAAATGGAAATAGGCCAGCCGTTTTTGAATTTAATTAAGGCAATTTATAGCGAACAAAAATCATCATTGAATGTAAATAAAGACATGACTGACTATTTTAATGTACAAAAAGGGACGAGACAGGGTTGTCTGCTATCCCCGCTTTTGTTTATATGGATCTTAGAAATTTTACTGAAGAAGGTAAGAGAGGAAAAAGAAATTAAGGGACTTGAATTAAAAGGTTTTTCTTATAAATACTGAGCATTTGCGGACGATGTGATGTTTGTTTTAGAAGATCCCTTTAAAACTTTGCCGAAATTAATGGATATAATCAAAGATTTCGGAGACTTGGCTGGCTTCTACATGAACAAGAAAAAGTCTAAAATGCTGTGTAAAAATATGACTAAACAAAGACAAAATGAATTAAAGGAAATGGTACAATGCGAAGTGGTAAATAAAGTTAAATATCTGGGAGTAGACTTGACAGCAAAAAACAGATTTGTTTAAGAACAATTACGAAAAGTTGTGGAAAAAGTTACAACAAGATCTTTAAAAATGGGACACTTTGAATTTGTCATTGCTGGGACGTATTTCAGCGGTTAAAATGAATATCTTGCCAAGATTGATGTTTTTATTTCAGACGATTCCAATTATTCGTGAAACCAAGGTGTTTGACGGTTGGCAAAGGGAAATATCAAAATTTATTTGGGCAGGGAGGAAGCCAAGAATTAAAATGAAGATAAAGTGTGATGCTAAAGAACGAGGAGGCTTCCAACTTCCCAATTTCAAGTTATACCATGAAGCGGTGTGCCTGACGTGGTTAGAACAATGGGTCAATCTTGAAAACAAAAAATTGCCGGCGTTAGAAGGACATGATTGCAGATTTGGTTGGCACGCCTATCTATGGTATGAAAAAGAAAAAATGGATAATTTTTTCAAACACCATGTGATTAGAAAAACCCTGATAGAAACTTGGAAAAGATATTAAAGGTTTTTCTATGAGGTTAGACCACTCTGGATTGTACCAGCAGAAGTAATTAATCCCTATTCTAGACTGAATGCTGCTGCCCGGAGTTGGGGAGGACGAGGCCTCTGGCTGAGGTCGCTCTTCCCACCAGGAGCCCGGCACCGGCTCCGCTCCTGCGGCCGGCCTGGCTAGTGGGCCGCTGCCGCCGCCACCCTGGGGTTC